GTCAGCCAGCCTGCAGGATGGGCCTGCTTCTCTGTGGCACTGCCTGAAGCCAGGCCTGGGGCCACATCCAGCTCTGCTTCTACTCACCAGAGATCCTGTCTCCTTACCCACAAAATGAGGAGTCTGCAGACACCAAAATGTCATGTCTGTTGAGAGGGTCAAAAAGAAGTAAAAACGCATGAAGCCAAAGAATGGCCTGGCGCTGGCACTCAGAACACACCACCCACGTGGGATGGTTATCCTGAGGTCCTCCGGGTGGACGCTGCAGGCAGCTGACCTGCAACCCACGCCTCGTGCTCACCCGGGCTGGACAGAAGGGCGGACTGCAGCTCTGCCTCAGTCCATTCCCTTTACCTCTGCGGGCATGAGGGTGTGGGGTGCAGCTGCTGCAAAGGACAAAGTGCAAAGCGGGAGGAGCGCCCAGTGAAGCAGAGGTGACGCAGCGAGAAGGTAGTGCCACGGGGAGACGAGAACCAACGCGCGTCCTGTCGTCGGCCGTCTCTGTGGACTAGTTCCAAGCTGTGTAATGGGGCATCGTTTGCAGATATCCATAACTTCACACCCACGCTTTGTACTGCTGTCAACTTCCTGCAAAATTCATTGATCCTGTGGTTTAGAACTTAACACCTCTTCAACCTCAGATTTTGTGAACCCTAGAAACTGGGGACTGATTTTTCTAACTGATAGTTCTGTATGTGAGCAGCAGATAGCGTAGCTGTCGTGGTCAAAGGTAGACCAGTGTGAGGCTCCTCTGAATGCAGGAAGGTTTTTGTCCTGGGGACAGTGCTGTCAGTAAGAATGACACCTCCAGTCTACTGCCCCTGAACGTGGGCGGGTCGCTGAGAGCCTGAACAGGACTGAGCACTGACAACCTTCCCACTGTGTGGAGACAGAGACAGAACAGCTTGCCAGAATTACCCTCTACGGCCCGAGCCCAGAAAGGCAGAGCAGCCTAACCCCAACTCTCCATTAATGAGCCGGAGGTGAGGGTTGCTGAGACCCACCTCCAGCTCCCCAATCTTGCCGCCTCCAACGGCATCACGGGGCCATCTCATTAGGAAGCCTGTGGACAGCCCCACCACCGTGTGCTCTGTCACGCCGGCAGCAAGTGTGTCTTGATCAATGTGCTTGTCAACGCTGCCTTCGGGCTGTGAGACACACCGGAGGAAATGTTTGCTCTGTGGTCGAAAGATGGCTCAATTTGGGTTTCCTAATTTGTTCTGGATCCTTGGCACGAGAGAATATTTGATGAGCACAGTGACTAATGTATAGACAAAAGTCTCATCCACTCAGTGTTCGCTGGCAAGTGGGACTCGGAGGGCCTGCAGTCGGAGCTCATAATTGTGCAATCTGGGACTGGGCAGGTGCATCTCCATGAGAGGAAGGGGCCCTGACTTTCAGCTCTAGTGCCCAGGCCCTGGCACGGCTGGGAGCCACGCAGGCAGGGGATGTGATGCAAGTTGTGGCTCTAGGAAGGGTGTCACCTGGCTCCAGGAAGCTGCCCTGATTTCCCCAGCTGATTATGGTCACTTCCTTCCAAGCTCCGTATCCCCAAACCTCTTTGATATACTTTCCATTACAGTTACTAATGTCTATGACTTAACTCCCATTTCAGTCTGCAGGCTGTTTGAGGACAGGTCCATGTTGGAGGCATTCTTCCCCTGGAGAACATAGAATGTGGTCCAGAGCTCAGCACACAGCAGCACTAGTGGCTGTGATGCTGCTGGTGGTGGCGGCGCTTGGTAGCAATGACGCTGATGCTACCATTTATCCAGTGCCCTCCTCTGAGCCATGTGCTGAGCTAGGTACCTGTACTCTCCCTAATACAACTGCTTCAAGAAAAAAAGGACTCCACCCCCCGCCCAGTTTTGTAGGGGCAAAAGTGGAGCTCAGAGAGGTTAGAAAGTTCTGAAGGTCACGCAGAGCTGTGCTGACAGCACTGGGTCAGTCTCCCAACCGAGCCTCCTGTCCCCTTGGTTTACTCAGCAGACCCTTGTGGGATGTGCAGGGAGTGGATCTGCGCCGTCTCGTGTGGAACACCGTGGGCTGAGGAATGTCGTCCCAGGGTACATTCCAGGAAGGCTGGCAGCAGTTCTCAGCTGCTTCACACACACGGCGCAGACCACACCAGCGACACCCAAACTAGACCGGGATGACACACGGTATGAGGGGTGAACAAGCCGGAAGTGGCTGTACCAGCCAGTCCTCATGCTTCCCACAGGTTGCTAGTCTCCAGATTTGGGCAACTGCAGTCGTAGCACTTACTCAGCATTATCTTAGGAAACTGGACATCGTAGTTTGTTGGACTGAGGTTTAAAACGTCTTCAGAATAGGGGGTTGAAAATGGTTGTAGAATTTTAGACCCAGAGGTGGGACAGAGTCCACTTGGATGGCTCCCTCAGGGCCGGTGCTCAGGTCCCACTGCTCTAAAGGAAATGCGGCTATGACACGGGCGAGTGAGTGACAGCCACTCGCTGTTAGTAGGCTAGCGGTAAGCCACTAGTAAGTAGGGGCTACTAGCGCTTCTGTGCCAGGTGCTACGCCCATCATCCCCATTTTACAGGTGACTTAGAGGCTAAATAACTCGTCAAGGCAAAGGTCACTAAGCAGCAGAGGTGAGACCCAAGCCCGGCAGCCTTGCCCGGAGGCCAGCTCCCTCTACGTGCTCACTGCGTCCGGATAGGAAGCCTCAAAGAGGAAGCGACCGAGAGGATACCCTCCTCGCTGCTGCCCCCGCCCCCAGGCTCTGGGTGACCTGGGCACCCTCACCCGGGGCCGCGCTAAGCTCTCCCACTCTCAGAGGACCTGGGGTCACCTGTGAAAACTGAAGTTTTTTTTTTAATTATTACTTTTACAGTCTGCCGACTGAAACATTATTTTTCCCTCTTCACCTTAATTTGGTTCAGAGCATAGAAGACCTCACGCAGACTGTTTACCCTGGTCCACTGCACGGATCACACTCAGCGCTGATTGTCTGCGCTGTGTGCGGCCTGCTGCGCCCGCCCCCCCGAGCTCTCCACTCGACTCTAATGAAAGGCCCTTTGAGTAGAAGGTGCATTCGCGGCAAAGAGGGTCGGTGCTCGTGGCACCGTAATGAGGCTCTTGGAGGCCGTCCCAGCCTCCAGCGCTGGGGCCCGACCAGGTGTTCAGAGACAGCCTTTCTCCATGGAAGTTCAGGCTGAACCTAAGATTGACACTTACACCCAATTTGTGCAAGACTGCTGGAGGGGCTGCTTGTTGTGGAGGCATCCCTTCTCTCTCTCTCTCTCTCTCTCTCTCTCTCTCTCTCATGAATCTTACTTTTTCTCTTCTAAAGGAAAAGCAGTTGATTTCAGCCAGCACTTGAACAAAATTATACCATTTGGATGACAACTAAAATCACATCATTTAGAGCTAAAAACAATCTTGGAGATAATGGCCAGTCTCCTCTGACAGGAGAAAACCGAGTGTCAAGAGGTCAGGTGACCTGCCCACGCTCATATGTGAGAACGGAACGTAGCACCATGTCAAGCCCAGCTTCCTGCTTCAGGCTGGCTACGCGAAAATCTGTCCTGCAAGGCTGAACGCAGGTATTTTTAAAATGACAGATTGGGGAGTCTGAGCCACTGTCTTAAATTCAGTGACGGCCGCACATCTTAGCTAGATCCCCAGGTGTGTACCCACTGACTAAACACCGATTTGTGCCCCAAGGGAGGTGCATGTAGAAAATATGAACGGGCGAGATTTTAAAAGTTTATGGTCCCTGCATGAAAGCAGCCCTGAGTCATCTCCGAGTGGGAAATTACTGTTTGTCCATGAAATTCTGACGGTGCCGTCGTCAGAGGCAGAACATTGAGACTTCTAACGTTTTTACAGCTGTCCCAGACGTGAGGAAACTGGGCCTCATTTTGTCTAGTGGGCAAAACAAAGTGTGATGAGATCATGTCCGGGGAACATTTACTAAATGAGTGAGGAGGCAGAGTGGGTGGAGGCTGAGGGAAAGGCCATGGATTCGACATCATCTGTAAAACAAGAGCCCCTGGCAGCTTCACCGGCCAGAGTATCGCTGCAAAAAGGATTGGATGGATGGAAAAGGGATTTAAGTGGTCAGTGAAGACAGGAGCTGGAGTGAAATAAAAACCGTCAGACGAAGGAGAGAGTCCGTCGCGGGGGAAGCTACTCTGTGGAGTTACAGTACACACCAGTGCATGGCTATGTCGAAGGAAGACAGCTGTACTATAAAATAAAAAATAGTAAGAGGAGAAATGGAGCCCTCACATGCTGCCGGCACGGTGATAGTGGTGCAGCCTCGCGGGAACGCGTTTTGGCAGTTCATGCAGAGCTGGCCACTGCCCAGCACCCCACTCCCAGGCACGTGCCTGGGAGACATGAAAACAGGTCCACACAGAGACTTGTACACGAAGGTGCACGGCAGCGTTATTCACAATGGCCCCCAAATGGAAACAACCCAGATGTTCACCAGCTGAGGAATGAAGAAACCACAATGTGCTCTGTCCTTAATAATTTTCAGTCATCAAAAAGAATTTGGCACCAACGTGCTACGACACGGATGCACCTTGGAATAATCACGCTCATCGAAAGAAGCCAGACACAAAGGCCCCACTGTGATTCTGTTTACGTGAAATGCCCCAGAATAGGCAAAGTCACGGAGAAGGAGGTAGATGAGCAGTTGCCTGGGGCCGGGGGAGGAGGAATGGGGTGATAGAGGGTTCTGTACCAGGCGATGTTTGCACCGCTCTGCGGATCTGCTAAAAACACTGAATGGGGTGAATCTCATGGCGTGCGAACTGTATTTCAATAAAGCTGTTATGAAAAAACCACCGTGGGAGGAATGTGGACGTGGGACCCGGCCCATCGGTGAATTAAGCCGTGGCGCCTGTTTGGGGTGCGCGTTCCGGGTGCCAGGTGCTGTTTAGCGCCCGGAGGTCCAGACCCGGTGCCATTTCAGGGCCTGCCCGTCGATGGGCGCTCACCTGCTGTTTGTCCCCCGGCCCCTGCAGGGTGAGGACCCCCCGGCCGACAGCGTGCTGACCTTCATGGCCCGGACGTCCGCCCTGACCTATGCCCCCGCGTCCCGGGCCGATTTCCCCGGGGACCGCCCGCTGCGCACGCTCCGCAGGCTCCAGCCCGACGAGCTCAGCCCCAAGGTGGCCGGCGGCGCGGACAGGCAGAGTCTGGTCGCCGCACTGGGTGCCTACGCGGCCCGGAAGCCCCCCGCGCCCCCCAGGGATGGCGACCCCGCAACCCGCAAGCTCGTGCGCGCGCCCTGGCGAGAGCCCAGGGTCCTTTCGGCACCGGCGGCCCCCCAGAAATGGCCCTCGCCTCCGGACCCCAGGGACGCCCTGGGCACGGACGACGGTAAGTACCCTTTGCGTGCTTGTCGTCGGCTTGTTTCTGCCTCTCGGGCGGCTGCGCAGGCCGGGCCTCCGAGGCTCTCTCCACGCGCGCACCAGGCTCCCCCGTAGAGCGGACAGAGGCCGAGGGGTGGGAGGGGCCGTCCGTCCTGGTCCTGCTCCTGGGTCGCGGGGACTCAGGCGGCCAGTGCCTGCGGCGGAGGGGCCTTCGGATCTCCTGGGGGAGGCGCCCTCCACGTTCAGTTCTCGCTGCCCCGACAGTCTCGCTATTTCATGACTTCATTGGTGGAGATGATGAGGGAATACGACTCACAGGCCAAAGCGGGCCCCGCCCAGCGTTTGGTAAATTGAATATAAACGACTTAGGAGTCCACTGCCCTTTCCTTCTGTCTCCGCCTCTCCACTCCTGTGGTCAGACTCATGCCCAGCTCCTTGGTTTATGGGTGTTTGCTGGTCCCCAGAGACCGGCCTGAAACGAACGCTGCCCCCAGTGCCGTGAGTGTACTTGGGCCCTTGAAGTGACCAGCCCTCGAGGCCGCCGCTTCGGCCCTTGATGTGAGTCACCCCTGCTGTGGTCGCCCCACGGGAGGAGGGCTGTTGGCCGGTCCTAGCCTCTGTGAGATGCCCAGGGGCCTCATCTGTTTTCTAACAGCCTTTCCCTAAGACCGTAAAATATAAGGTGCGATTTTGATAAAATATGACTTCCCCTTTGAAGATACACAAATAATAACATGAAGCAGGTAACAGATTAAAAAAATATTGAGTGTCCGTTCTCATTCGCGCTCCCTGTCTGTAAGTGGAGGCTTGATCGGGCCGCTCTGGTGGGGCTCTTCGGGGAACATCCTCTGAAGATGCTCTCTCCGCTCTCCAGGGACCCTTATTAGCGGCATCATTTGGTTGGCGTTTTCTCCTGGGCTACGTTGCAATGTGGGTTATCTTTTTGTATATATTGTCTTCCCAACTGCGCTGTATGCTTTAGAGTCATGTAAAATGTTAGTCTCAGAGCAAACAGAGAGACTTGTAGGATGAATGCCCACACGTGCATTGCTGGGTTCCTCTCGCTACTTCTGTGACCCCTACTCCCCTACGCTGACGGATTCAATCGGACGCTGTCAGGTTTCACCTGTCACACTTCAGTATTGCACTGCCAGAGATACGACTCTTGAATAAACCTAACCAAACAGCTTTATCCCATGTTAACCTTCATACTAATGTCTTCATATCACCAAGTATCTAATCTGTGTTTAAATTTCTCACTTGTAAATTTTCTTTACAGTCGGTTCTTTGAAGGCAGTATCTGAAGACGGTCCACTGAATTGGTGGATGTACCTGTTAAGCGCCTTTTAAACTACAAAAGCTTTCTCCTCCCTCTTTTATTCTCTTGCATCATTTTTTTTAAAAAAATATTGTTTCAGGTGTACAACATTTTAGTTTGACATCTGTATACACTACAGAGTGATCACCATCAAAGGTCTAATTACCATCCATCTCCATACAGCTGACCTCTTCACCCATCTTGCCCCCATCAACCCCTTCCTCTCTGGTAATCACTAATCTGTTCCCTGTATCTATGAGGTTTTGCTTTATGTTCTTCTTTATTTTAGATTCCACATATGAGTGAAATCACACAGTATTTGTCTTTTTCTGTCCAACTTATTTCACTAGCTTAATACCCTCTAGGTCCATCCATGTTGTAGCAAATGGCAGAATTTCATTCTTTTTCATGACTGAGTAATAAATATTCCATTGCATATATGTATGTACCACATCTTTTTTGTTTTAAGATTTTTTTTTGATGTGGACTTTTTTTTTTTTTTTAAAGTCTTTACTGAATTTGCTACAATATTGCTTCTGTTTTATGTTTCGGTTCTTTGGCCCTGAGGCATGTGGGATCTTAGTTCCCCTACCAGGGGTCAAACCTGCGCCCCCTGCCTTGGAAGGTGAAGTCTTCACCACGGGACCGCTAGGGAAGTCCCACCACATCTCCTTTATCCGTTCATCTGTTGATGGATACGTAGGATGCTTCCATATCTTGGCTATTGCAATGAACATGGGGGTGCATATATCTTTTTGAATTGGTGTTTTTGTTTTTTTTGGATAAGTACACAAGAGTGGAATTGCTGGATCATATGGTAGTTCTTATAGTTTCTGTCCCTTTGTTAAGTTCTGGCTGTGTTCATCCATGCTTCTTCTGGGTTCAGTGAGCATCTTTATGACCATTATTTTAAACTCTTTATCAGCTGAGTTGCTTTTCTCTCTTTCATTTAGTTCTTTTTCAGAGGTTTATGTCTTGTCCTTTTGATTGGAACATGTTCCTTTGTCTGCTTATTTTGCCTAATTCTCTGTGTCTGTTTCTCTGTGTTAGGTGTATCAGCTACCTCTCCCAGTCTTGAGGAGTGGCTTTTGTAGGAGACATCCTGTGGGGCTCAGAGGTGCAATCCCACTGGCCACCGGAGCCCGGGGCTCAAGGGGCGTGCCCGTGTGGGGCACCTGCCCTCCTGTTGTGGTGAGGTCAGGGTTGCGGAGGGGCGCTGGCGGGTGGGGTTATCGCCTGACTGGTCATGAGCCCTGCTGAGGTGCAGGGGTGGCAGCGCTCTCGGTAGGGGGCTAACAGGTTAGGTGGCGATTTCCACAGTGGCGCCTGCAGTGTCTCAGTCCCTGGGGAGCATCCCAAGTGGTCCCTGTTTCTCCAGCAGGTACTTCAAGATTAGTAAGTGGGTCTCCTTCCTCTGTGATCCAGGTGCCTTGCAATCAGGCACGTCTGCGTTGGTTTTGAGTCGAGTGAGTCTGCACAGGGCCCTTTAAGAGCGAATTTCCCATTCTCTGTAGTTCTGTGGTTTGCTTAGATGTATCTCCTGTTGGTTTTCAGAGCCAGGTGTTTGGGGGCTCATCGCTCCTGTGCAGGATCCAGGGGTTGGAGAGCCTCCTGTGGAGCTCGAACCCCTCGCTCCTCAGAGGAGAGCTTCACCCTTTGTGATCCTTGCCGGTTTGTGGATCGCCGTGGCAGTGGGTGTTCTCTTGGCGAGACCACCTCTCTGCCTTCCTGCCTGCTGATGCTGTCCTGTACTTTCCTGGTTGCACCCCAAGGAGGACATGTACTAGTTCCTCTGTTCCACACGCCCTGTGAGCTAGGAGCTCGGAGATGTGACCAGCGTGTCCAGCGTTCAGCAAGAAGCCTTCAGGGGGACAGCGACCTTCTGTGAGGGGGACGCTGCCTCCCTGTGTCTCGTTAGCGTCCAGCAGCCCCGGCCACGTAACCTTTCTGGCACATTTCACCTTGACTGTTTGGAAAGTGCTCGATCCCCCAACAAGAGGAGCTCACCTCACCCTACCCCACCTCGAGGGAAGCCCTCGCAGGGCTGTACTTTTCTCTGGAGCGTGTCTCACAGTCTGACTCACGCGTTTGCACGTATTGGATAAATGTTTGTCTCCGCTTGTAGACCGTCAGCTACGGAAGCCAGCAAACTGTGCTGCTTTTCTCACATTTGCACCCGGGACTCAGCATGTGCCTTGCAGGGTGTTTGCTGAGTGGGTGAATGGTATCATTTGCTCTTCACGTCAACCGTGAAAGATGGTGCTATTGTCAGCCTCGTTTTCCTGATGAGGAAACTGCAGCTTGAGATAGCAGGTGACAGCGTTTGTCCCAAAGTCAGGTCACGTAAGGCAAAGTGGATGGAAGCCTTTAAGAACCGTCTAAAATGCAGATTTAAACACAATTTGCTTTATTTCTTGGGCTTATTGGTCCCGGACTCTAATGTTTTAAATGCCACTCAGCTCCAAAGTCTAGCTTTCTCTGACTGTTCATTGTGTGCAAAGTTGTGTGCTGAGCCTTTAGGGTGAGCAGAGGAGTAGAGAAGGGTCACCTGGGGGCAGGGGTGTCAGCCAGGGCTGCAAGGAGGAAGGGTTCTCTTCTTACATAGTGAAAAAGGACAAGGCAAGAAAAGACCAGCCTTCCTCTAAAGCCCCAGAGCTTCCCGGGGTTACCTGTCCGGACCAGTCCCAGGCAGGCCATTCCCCACCACTCGCCCCTGGAAAACTGCCCCTGCCGTTCGGTCTAATATCCTTCAGAACCCGGGGAGCGTTCAGGTAGATTCAGTGGGCCACGAGCACAGGATCCCTAGGAAGGCGCAAGACACAGCAGCCCTGTCCTCAAAACCCAGCTTCACCTGGAAAGCACCAGCGAGAAAGTCAGAAGGGAGGCCCAGAGGGCCAGGGTGTGTGACCTCCCCGGGGGCGCAGCTCTGGAGAGCTGGCTGTGCCGGGCACCCAGCGGGTGTAGTGCGGGAGACAGAGACGTGGGTGACGCAGATAGTGGCTGCCCTTCTGCAGGACAGTCGAGACCAATTAGTAGCCCTCAGGGCTCATGAAAACCCACCCATCCCTGCTCCCGAATCAGTAAATCAGGCCACAGGCTTCACGTGCGTGGCAAATGTTCATTTGGTAAAAACTTAGAAAGGAGACCCTCTTCCTTCATTTATTCATTATTTACACCGTGTCGCCTTTGAAAAAGCTTTAATTCACATAAAATTAAAAGACCAGTGGGCAGTAGGATAATGGCAAGGGCAAACGGCAAAGTGTGAAGTGTGGGATTCAGACACGACTGGTCCAGCTTCTCCTGTTTAGGACACGGTGTCTTGGGTTGTGGCCCAGCTGGCAATGCCCCTCGTTAGAGTGTTGTTCTGTATTCTGTGATCAGTTCTCTATGGAAACCGGAACGGGTAAAGGATTATTTGTTGTGCTTTTTATCAGTTGTAGAAGTAGTAAATGGTTACCATGCAATACCAGAATAATAGATGTGTAGAAAGAAGAAAACAAGACACCCTGGATCTCATCACCACCAGGCAGGTGTTGTGAGCGCTGGTGTACCTTTTGGTGCTCCGTGTGCGTTTGTGAGGCCTGGCACCGCACGGCTGACCCGGGTGTGGCCGTGCGCAGCTGCTGCTTCTCCTCTGCACGTCCCTGCAGTGCATTCGCCAGGGCTCGTTCTTCCTCCATCGCTGGGTT